TGAGGAATAGGGGAAAATATGTCTATTCCATCTTTCTGGAGGCATAAGTCTAACCAGTTCATTTTTAAGTAATTGGTGAATTATCAAAGCAAACAATGGGATATTTGTTTCCTTTTTTTCATACCCACATGTTCTAAACTTTCCAAAGTAGGCACACTTTTGCAATAAGGAAATATACTTAATATTTACATCTAAAACCATATATATAGTACATTATACCTTTCCTGGCTATCACCAACTCTCTCTTTATCCCTTTTTTTAAATGGACGTAGAAGTTTATTTAGAAAGATACAGTGGTAAAAAAGTAAAAACAAAAGGAAAAAGAAAAATTTTTTTTAAAAAAGAAAAAATAGGAAGATACAGTGGTAGAAGAAGTGAGTTGTGGAAGAAGTGAGCAGCTGGGCTGCGTGGGCTCACAAAACAAGTTTTAGAGGCAAAAAAAGGGGGGTCCTTGGAGTTTAGGATAAAAAAGCAAGGATGTAAGGGCTCTGATGTGCTTCAGAAGAGGGGAGGGGGGGTACCTACACTCAAGATAGGGAGAGAGAATGAGAGAAAGAACATGTCTATCATGTCTATCACCAACTCTTTTCACAAGGTTAATGGAGTCAGAAGAGGTGGCCACAGCACTTTATACTAACACAGTGTTGCAAATTGTGTTCCCCCCAAAATATATGTTTTTGCTTTTTGCTCTTTTTATTTTTAAATATTATTTTGAATTAGTTTCAGGTGTGCAGCATAGTGGACAGATAATCATACTTTACAAAATGTTTCCCCGATAATTCAAGTACCCACCTGACTGACACCTTACAGAGTTCTTAAAATATTATTGATTGGATTATTCCTTATGCTGTACTTTACATCCCTGAGACTATTTTGTAACTACCAATTAGTACTTCTTAATCTCTTCACCTTTTTCACCCAGTCCTCTTTTAACCTACTTCCCTCTGGCAACCATCAGTATGTTTTCTGTATTTATGAGTTTGTTTTTATTTTATTTGTTCATTCATTTTGTTGTTTAGATTCCACACGTAAGTGAAATTATATGGTATTTCTCTTTCTCTGATTGACTTATTTCACTTAGCATAATATTCTTTAGGTTTACCCCATGCCATTCATTTCAAATGGTAATATTCTTTTTCATGGCCAAGTAATATTCCAATGTATATACATTGAGTGGCCAGATGGTTATGATCTCTGAACACATAATAATCTGGCTACTCAGTGTGTGTATATATATATATTAGAGGCATGAATTCGTGCATGAGTGAGGTCCGGCCAGCCTGGCCAGGGGCAGGGTACATGGATCGTTAGCCAGCCTGCCTGCTGGTCAAACTCCTAGTCCAGGGGACAATTTGCATATTAGCCTTTTATTATATAGGATATACAATGAGTGGCTAGATTATTATATGTTCAGAGGTCATAATAATCTGACCACTCAGTGTATGTACCACAGCTTTTTTTTTAAATCCATTTTGTCTATTGCTTTCATATCTTGGCTATTATAAATAACACTGCAAAGAAACAAATTTTGAGTAGAGTTTTATGAAAAGGAAGTTTATTAAAGAGTGCCCTTAGGACCAGCACCTGTGGAAGGGAAGGGGAGAAAGCAGGAGTACACAGAAGAAGTTGAGCTGTGAGACAAGCCTCACATGGAGCTCTCAAAGTCAAATGTCCCTTGAGAGTTGGTCTGTGTTGGGCTAAGACAGTCAGACCTTCACACTTCACATCAATCAGTCATTGCGTGCTCTGGGGCATTACCTTGGGTGAGGGATTTGTCTGAAGCCAAAGCAATGTCCAAACACACTCCCAGCATCCTGGGCCACAAGTCCTGCATTGAAGGAATGTCCACCCGACATGGATATTTCAAATGGAAAGGCGTCTTTCAAAACATCCCCTCCAATCTCCTCATTTTATGGATCCTGTGGCAAAGGTTTAGGAAGTAACATAAAGTCACATATTAACAACCCCACCCCCAAATATTTCTCTTCACAGCGACCACGGTGCCCTTTACAAAGTGCAGATTTGATCAAGTCATGCCCCTATTTACAACATTTCAGTGGCTTTTCATTACTCAAGGCCAGACATCAACATCCTTTACATAGACCTCAAAGGCTTGCTTGCCCTGCCCCCTGCAGGTGTTCTCCAGCATCTCTCACATCACTCTTGCCCTCCAGCCCTGACACTGCCTTCAATATCTTGAGGCACCATGCTTCTTTTCACAATAGTACATCTTTCTTCTGTCAGAAATACTCCACCTGATCATAGCAGCTCCATGAATTATCTTATTTTGCTATTGGCAAAAGATCCTTTTCTCATCTTTTGTATGTATGTAGGTGTGAATGCTAGAGTTTAAATTTTGGACACTGGTTAGTAATCAGCCATCCATCTCTTCATTACACTTGCTGCAGCAGAAATGCTACCATGATGATGCACATTATTGCCAAATATGTATTTTATTTTATTTTAAAAATATGGAATGCTTCATGAATTTGTGTGTCATCCTTGCACAGGGGCCATGCTAATCTTCTCTGTATCACTCCAGATTTAGTATATGTGCTGCCGAAGCACGCACCTGTCAAAAATATTGGCCTTTATCTGATGGGGTGTATTGACTTTATGCCCTGGGTGAATTGATATCTCCCCCAGGAAAAGAGGACTATTGCTTTGAAATATGTAGGTATTTGTGCATCTGTTTCTTGATGAACTGTGGAGGTAGAAAAGGAAATACAGAGAATGTGCCTGGTAAAGTCCCCACCTCCACTTTACTTCCGTGGCAATTGTGTAAATTGTGGGTCTGCTCAGCTAACACCATGCATAGTGGACAAACTAGGTTTGTCAAAACAATGTGTGGGGGTGTGGCAGTGGGAGTGCATAAAACAAGAGAGGGACAAGAGTAAAGCTATGGTCTACAAATCAGGAGATTAAGCCATTTGTAACAGCACAGCATACATTTGATGGCTTTTAAAAGAGTTCACCTTTCTCCCTCTCCTCTACCCCATAACCTCTTACATTCCCAGGCAGCTTCCCCAAAGCCCCTCTCAGGTCTTTGAGAGCATGCCTCTTGCTCTACTTCTATCTGTATTCATTGTTTCAAAAGTCTCCTCCAAGGACACCTTGATCCCTAGCATCTACTGGTCCCTATACATCAGAAATCACAAATCTGATGGGATTTTAAAAATATATATTTTATTGATTTTTTTACAGAGAGGAGAGAGGGATAGAGAGCTAGAAACATCGATGAGAGAGAAACATCTACCAGCTGCCTCTTGCACACCCCCTACCGGGGATGTGCCCGCAACCAATGTACATGCCCTTGACTGGAATCGAACCCTGGTCTTTTCAGTCCGCAGACCGACACTCTACCACTGAGCCAAAACTGTTTCAGCTGTAATTTCTTTTTTAAAGTAGACTTTTTAAAAATTTATCATCTCATTTCTAATATATGGTATGTATTTTTTATTTTTAGAAATTCCTTCCCCATGCACACATAATTTACAGAGTTCATTAGTAAACTACCTTATGGATTCTTCTACATATATCTAACTATTTCCCATGTTCCTAGATTCTGAATATTTCTGTCACTTACAATTTTCCTTTTCTATTTATTGAAAGATATCTTTCATACTTAGGTATTTTGTCATCTACCTCTCTTGCCCAAAAGAAAACATAAGTGAAATAAGTTGGTTGGTATTTTTAAAGCTTTGACTGCCACCTGCCTGACAGCAGTTTAAAACCATGCTGATTTCAGAGATGTTAAAATAAAAATTAAAAGGTACAACAATAACTTACCGTGGACACGTCCTTTGCTTAATAGAACCATCCCCACTCCCTTTAAGCTCTTTGTATTATCTCTCAGATTATCCCTTCTCCTTCTCACCCTATAAATAGATAACCACTATTCTGAATTATGTGTTTATCATTTCCTTGCCTTCCTCTATACCTTTAGTAAATACATATTACTTGATCTTGTTTCTGAACTTTTCTGCAAGTGGAACTATATTATATGCATTTTTCTGACTAGTTTTTATTATTCAACTTTCTATGAGGTTCATCCATGCGAACATGTATAGCTGCTGTTTACTTTTGCTGTTGTATTATGTGCACTGTAGGCATATTCCACAATTGATCAGTTCTTCTGTTTGATAAACATTTGGGGGTTTGCTATTATAAAATTTTTTATTAAAAAGATCTTCCAGTTGTCTCCTAGCAAGCCTCTGTGAGGGTTTCTCCACAGTATATATTCAAGAGAAAGGAGAATTGTTTCGATTAAATCCATGATAGGAAACCCTTTCCTGGAAAGTGCTAGATAGTAAAAATATTAGACTTTGCACACAATACAGTCTCTGTTGCAACAGCTCCGATTTGTTGTCTCAATGTGAAAGCAGCCATAAACAATATATAAGTGAGCAGCTGTAACTACGTTCCAATAAAAACTTTATTTACAAAACTGGGCACTTGGCAAGATTTGGCCCTCAGGCTACCGATTCCTGACTCGGATGATACACTTTACTATTGTGACTGCCTACATCCCTTGTTTCCTCCCCTATTGATTTCCTGAAGAGACACGAGTCCTGTCTTCACTGAGCCTATGGGATGGACTGACGGGACATGTTCAGGAACCTTCTGGGAGAAGAGGAGGAAGGGCATGGGGACTTGGTGGTGGTGGTCTTTCCTGGCCCGGCACCTGTCACTCGTGGCCATAGTCTTGGGGAAACCAGAAGACAAAAGGGGGAGGAGACCAGACAGGACACTCATGTTGGGCTTGGGTGGGAGGTGGGGTTCTGCCTGACCGGAGGCTGGAGTCTCAGGCCTTAGCACAGTTTACATCACAGACGCCACTGTGAAGTCACCACCAGGAGAGGGGACGTCGGAAGCCCAACAAAAGCAGCATTTCTTTTGGAGGTGTATTGTTTCCTTTATTAAAGAATGCTGGCACTGTCTCTCTAGGGATACTTTCGCGAGGCTAGGTCTCCGCTGCAGCTTCCTGCCCTGGCTCCTGTCTAATTGGATTTGGTCTCAATGTAGATCGTCTCCAACATCTCCGATGTCACGGTGCCAGTGATCTCCAGATCCCGGCCTCCCGGAGCCTTCTCTACCTTGGCCTCGATGTTGCGCTTCCCTACCTTCTTGGCCTTGAAGTCCATCTCCCTGTCGTGCGACGAGACCTCGGTTTTTGAACCACGAGTGACTCGGAAGCTCTTGAAAAAAGAGCCAATCTTGCTGGATTTCTTACTTAAAGTACCGGAGCTGGCAGACCTGCTCTTCCCCAGCTTGTGAGGTACCCTCGACTCCTTCACAGCGGAGCTGTGGCTGGAACTCTTGTGAGTGCTGTGTCTCCTGCCCTTGATGTTGCTCGCCCCCTTTTCTTTCTTGTCCTCTCTTGTGTTTTTATGGCCAGAGGATGACTGGTGGGAGGAGGATTTCCGGACCGACTTGTTCCCTCCTGTCCTGTGGTGATGGGAACTTTTCCTTGTGGAAGGATGTCTGTCCTTCTTTTCCCTCTTTTCTTTTTTCCCCCTCCGAGATTCAGCTCTGGGTTGGGAGGCCTTTGGGCTCCTTTCCCGTTGACCCTTCAAGGTTGAGACGTGGCCTCCAGCTCTTTCTGTGTCGGGACTTGTGGTTGTCACTATGCACGTGACGCTGGTGCTGCTGGCTGGGGAGACATTGGTAGCCCCTGCCATTGCCATGGAAGTTGTTAATGAGGACGAGCTGGCAGCACCCGCCAAGGCCACGTTCGTGCCCTCTGAGGATATGTTGGTGGCACCTGCCGCGACCTTGCTGGATCCACTTTCTCCCGGACCCTTGGTGATGGCTCCAGCCACGGCCACGCCCATGTGGCCTGTGCCCACATTCTGGGATGCTGCTATGCTCAAAGCACCTGCTGTGGGACTTGCTCCTGCTGCTGCCACGATAGCCTTAGGGCTTGATCCCGCTCCCGCTGCTGCCCCATGTGCCTTAGGGTTTGATCCCGCTCCTGCTGCTGCCACGCTGGCTTTAGGACTTGTTCTCACTCGCGCTGATGCCATGCTTGCTCTAGGGCTTGTTCCCGCTCCTGCTGCTGCAGTGTTGGCTGCAGGGATTGTTATCACCCCCGCGGCTGCCACGCTTGCTCTAGGGCTCGTTCCTGCTACTGCCAGGCCTCCGCTTGCCCCCTTTGAGGCTCCTTCGGCAGTCCCCGGAGTCTTCTTGGCCTGAGTTGAAGCAGGCATTCCCTCTCCCCCAGCATAACCGGAAGAAGTGGCTCTGGACACATCACAAAGATTGTAAAACCTCGCCTCGTTCTGATCTCCATCTCCACGGAACTCTGCGGTCTGTGCCAAGGGGAGGAGAAACAGGGGGGAAGAGGGTGACAGAGATGACAAAGTGAGACCACGGCAGTCTGCTCTCTCTCTCTCTTGCCCTGGAGCCCAGCATCTCCAGGGCTTTTCTAAGGAGAAGCACCTTGGAGATCCTTACGTCTCAGCTCCCCTGGGCTGCAGCCTCCCATTCACAGCATCCCTGTCAAACTTGGTTTTGCATGAGCAGTCCCCACGCCAAGGGAAGCACTGATGCAATTCCCAGTCCTCACGCAGTTGGGATTTTTGTTTGTTTTTGCACACACGTGCTTATCTCTCTGCAGACAGATCTTACACATGGGATTGCTGGGTCCAGGGGGTCACACATTTTACATTTCAGTGGCTGCTAAAAGAAACTGTACATGTGCAGGCACCCAAGCGGGTGGTGCTGACTTGAATCAGCAATGGCAGTCACAGGGGGACAGAGGAAAGAAGAGACTGGGCTGGGGGGAGTGTTCAGGAAGGGCTAGCACAATCTGGAGGCTACAGAAGGGATTGCAACCCTGCGTCTGAGACCAGAGCAGCTGATACCTAAGGTCTCTCTGAACCCCGGCTTTGAGGTACAACGCGGAGAAGCGCTTGGAATCTCCTCAGTGCAGTTAGTGCTGTGATGGTGGCCCTGAACCTTTGGGAAATGGAATGCACCTCCCCGGTGAGCTTCGGAGAGCACCAGCGGCTTTGTAGGACCAGTGTTGAGCTGCTCCCCCAAAGTACCCCGGCGCATTATCTTGAGTCTCGGCAGATGCTTACCAATAGGCTGCTGTCATCCTCCATGGTCGCTGCATCCCCACTCTGTGGTATCCGGGTACTGCTGCTGCTCTCCACGGGAGGCCTCAGGAGATAGACAAGTTTTTCCCAGTAGCCAAACAGGTCTTCTTGCCCATCTGCAGAGGGACACAGCTGCAGATAGAAAGTGCGACCCGTGGCAAGCTTTAGGCGCAGCTGCTGCTTCTCTCGATCGTGGATGGAGATCTTAACAAACTTCAAGGGCAGTAGCCGGGTGAGCTCCAGGGTCTTGGCGGGCTTGCGGCCTCTCCCCTTGGTGGACCGGATGCGTTTGGTGTGCTCTTCGCAGACTTTGGTTGGCCGGGCCAGCAGCATGACATCGGGCAGCGGGAGGATGGGGCTGGTGGACGCAATGCCCACCGTCACCATTCGGACGCGGTTGTGCACGTCGATCATCTCCCCCTTTTTGCTAATCTGGATAAAGTCACTCTCAAACATGGGCGCATACTTGAAAATATCATACTCCCCTCCCTTGTACAGTTGTCGTTGCAGGTCCCCCATGGAGGTATTGAACACGCCCTTTGAACGGTAGCTGTGGGCTGTGTAGTAAGGTAGCAAGCATTCACTGCTCATGGTTCTCTGAATTGAAGACAGCCATAAATCGAGTCTCCAAGAGAGAGGGAGTGAAGTCCACTGCCCATCTCCCTGCAGGGTTCTGCGGACAGCTCCTTACACCCTGCACTTACCCTGGCAGTCCTTTGTGACCTGTCGCAATTACACACCCCTTTGTCCAGCCTTCAAGCAGCCACCCCCTTGGGCAAGGTCACCAGCCTCCCCCCTCAAACAACAACAATAACAACAACAACAACAACAACAACAACACTGCCACCTCCAAGGGTGACAGGCTGACCCTGCCAGGATGTGGGTGGGGGTAGACTGGATATACTTTCCAATCAAAATGCCATGTAATTGATGAAACCACCCTGCTTTGGTAAATATCCAGGTTGTTTCCGGTTTTATTGTTGTGGTTACAGATATCCCTGCCATGATAATCTTCCTGCAAATATGTTTGTTGCTTTTGCTGAAAAACTGCTTGGGGAGTTGTGTGCTGGCGATGTTGTTCTCCACGTGCCCAGTGACTAGCACAGTGCAGGCAGGCACTCGGGAGTCGAAGGAAGTTGTTGAATGTATGGTCCAAAGGGGCTTCTGCTACATATCAGAACTAGAGTCCCATTCGTAGAGTGGTTCCCAGGGTGTGGAGACTTCCTCACCCATTTCCTCATTTGAAGGAGGCTAATCTTCCCCCCATTTTTTAATTAAGGTATAATATTATATGTGTACATATCTTATTATTGCCCCTCCACACACTCACATACATCCCCTCTCCCCTTCCCCCCGCAGTGTCTTGCGTCCATTGATTATGCTTATATGCATGCATACAAGTACTTTGGTTGATCTCTTACCTTCCCCACATTTCCCTAACCTTCCCGCTGTAATTTGACAGTCTGTTTGATGCTTTACTGGGAGGCGAATTTTTAAAACCATACTTTTATGGTTAGGGATCGAGGCTCAGAATTGTCTCGCACAGCGACAGAATGCAGAATTGGCTTCTGGGGACTCAGATCAGGGATTTTTCTCTGCCTCCAGCTGCCTGGCTCACCATTTAGGGTCTCACTTTTCTCTAAATATAGAACTGTTTGCAGTTAGCCATATGCGTGGGGACCACAGGAATTCATAGAGGTCTTGAATCACCATAAGATTTCCCAAACTGGTATGCCTGTTGTTTCGCTCTTGATGTCTACCTGATAAACCACGGATGTTTGGTTTCTGTGAAAAGCTCTTCAGAGAAATTATGGCAAAGATGTATTTCTTTGCACAGGGTAATAAATCCAAATTTCCCCTCCTTCAGTGAGAAACTACCTCTGAGATGAAATACATCCCCCAAACTCAGTGACTGCTCTGTAAAGGTCTTGAAATAAACTTCAACTCCCAACTGTTCTTTTTATATCCCTAGAGCCTACTGCAGTACCTGGCATGTTGCAACTTCTCAATAAATATGAACTTGCTTGTGCCCATCGAGATTTATTTTTTACATTTGCTTATTCAACAAAATGTACTGAGTGAGTATTATTTTCAGGACAGGTCAGAAAATGGAAATGCAAAGATAGTCTCCACCTCTAAAGCACTAAAATACATTTTCTGAAGATGTTAAAAGACTTAAAAAAAATAGAACAAAGTACTTATACTCTATGGTAAGGAGATAATCACTCAAAGTTAACACTTTTAGGTTTAAAAATAAGAAGTGAGGGATTTCTATATAATACGGATTTTTAAAAAATAAATCTTTATTGTTCATATTATTACAAATGTTCCTCATTTTTTCCCCCTCCATTGCTCCCCTCCACCAGGTTCCCACCCCACCCTCTGCCTTCTCTCACCCCCCATTGTCCTCATCCATGGGTGCACAGCTTATGTTCAGTCTCTTCCCGCACCCCCCACTCCTCTTTTCCTCAAGAATCGTTAGTCCACTTCCCTTCCATACCTCTGATTCTATTATATTCAACAGTTAATATTGTTCATCAGGTTTTTTAATTCCCTTGGTTTTTAGATTCACTTGTTGATAGTTACATATTTGTTGTTCATAATTTTTATCTTTATTTTCCTCCTCTTCCTAAAGAACCCCCTTAAGCAATTTATATAATTCTGGTTTGGTGGTGATGAACTCCTTTAGCTTTTTTTTATTAGTGAAGCTCTTTATCTGGCCTTCAATTCTGAGTGATAGCTTTGCTGGGTAGAGTATTTTTGGTTGTAGGTTCTTGTTATTCATCACCTTGAATATTTCTTGCCATTCCCGTCTGGCCTGCTGATCTTTTTCTTTAAGACCTTTCAAAAATGTATTCTCTTCTTCCAAAGTTTAAAACTCTAACACATCCTTACAAAAAAAATGGAGATTAATTTACCAAGATGTATTTATTGATTGCCTACTAAGTGCCATCACTGTGCTGAGAGTATTCAGGTTGTCAAATATAAATTTCAAATACTTATAAACATGACTCTTATACAAATACACAATGAAAACATGTCAAAGATTTAATTAATTCATCAACAAAGGAGCTAGCAGAATGGTAAAGATGGTTCAAAAGGGAATTAGGAATATGCATTGGCATTGGAGAAAGGATGATGGGCTAACATTGCCAGACTAGATTTTTTTTTTAAATGGTTAAATGTCTACAAGGCAATAAAAGGATAACCTTTGGGGTTATCTTTTCTACTAAACTAAAGTCTATAAGTTAAGTTCACAGAATCTGAGATTTGGATCAATATTAGCTTTCTTGGGGTGCTGGAAATGTTCTAAAATTACATTGTGATAAGTACACAACTCTGTGAACATACTAAAAGCCACAGGCCTGCATACTTCTAATGGATAGAGTTTATGGTATGTGAAATGTATCTCAATAAAGCTGTTAAAAATAATAGATAAGAATGCTACACTCTTGATTTATTGATCCAATCTCATTGTCTTACTTTCTTTTCCTGTATGATTAAATAATCCTTGGGCAGGCATATGAAACAAGCTTTAATATGACATTAGAAGTGCATTAACATTCATAACCAATAGTTGTTTTTTGTAAGAAGGAAAACTGCCAAATCCACAATTCTGAGAATAGTTTTATGTGCATTTTATTTATTTATTTTCTCTTTTTTTAAAAAATATTGATTTTTCACAGAGAGGAAGGGAGAGAGATAGAGAACTAGAATCGTCAATGAGAGAGAGAAACATCGACCAGCTGCCTCCTGCACACCACCCACCGGGGATGTGCCTGCAACCAATGCACATGCCCCTGACCGGAATCGAACCCGAGACCCCTCAGTTCCACAGACCGACGCTCCACCACTGAGCCAAACCGGTTTCAGCTATTTTCTCATTTTTTTAAATTAAGGTATTATATGTGTACATATCTTACCATTGCCTCCCCCTAATTTTATGTGCATTTTAATTGGCCCAACATAAAAGAGATGCAACAAGTGAAAACACAAAACACTGGATAGGATGTACTGAATATATGTAGGCATGCAAGACTATCAATGGTCTAAGTCTACCTATTTATCATGGGAAGAGGTTCCAAGTCCATCCCTTTTGTTCCCCCACCTATTATTTTGAAAAACAAGGCATGCAGACAGCTATAAATAGCCTTTTCAATGAATGTGCCCTCTGAAAGAGCACTGTGAGCTAGGCAGGATGTGAGGGTGGGGAGATTTCCATACTGTACACAATATGTCTGTGCTGGGTAAATCCCCTGGCCCAAAACACAATCCACAGTCCTTTTATGTTGATGCAGCTAAGCCAAGATGGCGTGGGATGAGCTGTGGTTAGCCTTGGGCACCTAGGACTTCAGGAAGCCTGTCTGATTTCTGCCTTACCTTTGATTGTCAGAGAAAGACCACAGTCACCTAGACTCTTCCCCAGAGGGCCATTATGCAAATCATTTTGCTTCTGCCTTGGGTTTCAAAAGAAAATGGGCTGGAAAGAAAAAGAAAGCAGATGGGCTGGGATACATGAAAGGGTCAGATAGGTGATCGAAATAATGGTATTTCTCAATTTGCTGGTCTGACTAGCGGCGCCCCCTTCACCTCCTACTCTCTTCCTGCTCCCTTGTTTCTGTTCTGCTCAGCCATATCTAGCCAGACTCAGAGCCCAAATTCTGCCCTGCTCATCACTCTGAGGAGTATTTCCTTCTCTCTGGCTCCAATTTTGCTATGTTTCTAAGCTGTAAGATGTTCCGCCTCAGTATGTATATATATATATATATATATATATATATATATATATATATATATATATATATATATATATAATTTTTTGATGTTGTACTGAAGAAGCTGAAACTGGAAAAGTCAGCCTTAGTGCTACCGGTCACCACTGGAACCACTAAGTAGAGACAAAGATTGAATCTTTATGGGCACTTTATTTAGAGTGCTGATGATTTGAGAACAAGGCAGGTTATGTGCCTTAAAATGTTGACATCTTATGCCACAAACCAACCCTTCTTATAAGGAGAAGAGAAGTGCAGGTAAAGGATTTGGGAGTCAGGAGAAAGTAGGTTAATCAGATAAAAGGTACAGTCTGGTGATTTTCTGAGCATCCCTTCATCTGCTGACTGATGATTCTTTATCTACATCTTGGGTGAGGTACATAGTCGCTTTTTCTTTTTTTCAGAAGGAAAGAGGCTATGTACTTACCAAATATTCTTAGTGTCACCCTCAAACAGATACAAATAAACCCGACCATATTTGGATGATAACCATAAGGAAAATAAAGGGCTTCCAGGCTTATCCTAAGAGAAGGATCGCTTTGGCCTTGACATAGGAGGGCTCTAGAGTGATATGAGAAACATCTTCCTTTATCTAAATGGCTATTCCTTGGACCAGAGAAGAGGATTGGAATTGTAAGGCCTCAAATGAGAAAGCAACAAAGAAGATGGGCTTCAGGTCAGTGTAGGGCTGAGATCACTTATTGATGAGCCAGCGTCAATTCCTCTTTCTCCAGTGGCAACACTTTGGAGAACCACGTTAGTCTATAGGATTGGGTAGGGCTGACTGTATCCCACCCCCAAATCCAGGTGAGGGTGCAG